CACACAAATCTCTATAACACTCGACACAAGTGCTTAGCCTAGTCGAAGTAGGGAGTTTGCAACTAAGAAGATGATGTTTTCATCAATGGTTGTACCTTCCTTCTCCTCTATGATGATATTCGAAATTGATTGTATTAGGATGTAATTTTTATTATTTTTATGTGAATGAGTGCTATGATTTCATCTCTTGCTTGTGTTTATCTATGAAGATTTTGATGTCTCTGATTATGTATGGATGCTTTATTGTATTCGATGATAATGATGGTCATTGATGTTTTGTTTCTATAGTATGGATGCTCTTATACCATCGATACTTACGATTCTATTATCTGTTACTATATGCATCATGCTTAGTATTGCTTAGATTGTCAAGAAATTACCTTCTAGCGATACCCCATTGATTCTACACGAGTTGAGATGGATTGATCACCCATCTATGTTTCGAGTAAAATCAATACTTGATTGTTAGAAGATCACTGCTAAAGACTATAGTTTTGGTTCATAGAAAGCCACAATTAACTATATATATGTTATCGGAACTTTCTTGTTCTTCATTAATTAGATAATGACATGAAGAGAAAGCACACATTGGCTAGTTAAATCTCTATCGCAAGAGGCGCATCTAAGAGTAGAAAGTGGCCTTAGAGAAAGGGATAGGGTGTTACAATAGGTGAATCATCGATGCATGATGTAAATGAGCCCTGCTTTGCATGATTGTCTTTGAGTTCACTACCTATTACAATAACGTATCTTTACTTGCATGCATCTATAAATAAAAAACCCCTTAATAACTTTATTCTTCTTGCTTTGCTTGTTTGTCTAATGGAAAACCCTTGAATGTCTTTATGCATTTCCAATTGTTGGACTCATAGAAATTTTATTTTATGGTTAATCAAAAATTCATTAAACTCTAGAACCCTTGTAACTAAGGGTTCTCTCAAGTGTACAGTTTTGAACCATTACAATCAACCATCAAAAGAACAATTTCTGCACTATACTGCAACTAGTACTATACTAACAGAAACTAGGCAAAACAGTACAAGTATCAACTCTACTTTGAATCAAAAACCGTACTTCTGATCGGATTCTAGCCACCAGCTGAGGAGGGTGTTGCAAACCACTTCCATAGCCCCTGCGGCATCGTTCCTTTCAAATATGACTCATAACGATACTCCAAAGCAACTTGCCTACTTCAAACTCATGCTGTATCGCCCAATTAACAGTAGACTGCCACGTTGGGAGAATAGGGGGCAGGGGGAAGTCAATTAAGCACTGCTGCAAAACAAAAACAATATAGGAGAAAGTGCTAAATAGATGATCATGAGTTTCCAATCCACCTGGACAAAGCACACAAGCCACCTCTGTTGTTTTCCCCTAAGCTGCAAGCTTATCACGGGTGTAAATTCTATCCAACATGATTAGCCACAGGATCATACTATGTTTAGGAATAGAAAACTTTCCCCAAACAAGTTCAGACAAAGGAACTAAAGATAATGGAGAACGCATAGAAAGCCAAACCTTCTTAACTGAATATCTGTTCATAGGTTGGCTTGGCCATTTTATTGAAGTGCCAACACCCGTAATAAAGGGACGAGCCTCCTATCTTGCCTTCAAAATGCGCTTCCTGACCCAAGAACCAACCGAGGTGGGGGATTTCCCAGATTGTTTTGGTTCTGAGCCACCCAAGCCACCCAGAGAGAGCTACTGCCTGCTAGAACGTCCCATAAGTGCCTGATTACACATGCCTTGTTCCATACCCGAAAATGCTTTAAGTGCTACAACATGATCCCAGGATACTAAACCCCTTACTCGAGTTCTCCCATTACCTACACCCCACAAGAAATTGTTGCAGATAGTCTCAATATCTCTAAGAACATTCTGTGGGAGAAGGAAGACATTCATCCAATATTGGAGAACACTCGAGATGACTAAAGTAACCAATTGTAGGCGGCCTGCATAGCTTAAAGATTTTGAAGTCCATCCTCTGATCCTAGCTGTAATCTTCTCAAGTAAAGTGTGACAATCCAATTTGGAAAGCTTACCAGCTAGGAGAGGCAATCCTAGGTATCTCACTGGAAACTAGCTAAGAGGGAACCCTGTGGAGGCTGCAATGATCTGTTGATCTTCGTCTAAAACCCCACTAAAGAAAATCTGGCTTTTCTCTGGATTGCACTTTAACCCTGACAAGGTATAAAATTCATTCAGGACACACTAAATTCCTCCCACAGCCTCCACTGAACCATTTGAAAAAACAAGCAGAACATTCGCGAAGATAAGGTGTGAAATATTAAGTGATTTGCAACGTAGATGATATGGGATACTGCCCGCCGACATAGCTTTAGACAAGAGATATGAAAATACCTCCATGGCAATCACAAAAAGGGGGAAAGTGGATCACCTTGCTGAAGCCCCTTACCACCCGGGAAATAACCACATAAGCCACCATTCATACACACACTGAACATAGGTGAGGTCACACAAACTCTAACTCTGTGAACAAACTATTCTGGAATTCCAATGGCAATCATGACACAAAACAGAAATGTCCAATTTACTGAATCAAAAGCCTTCATCAAGTCGATCTTGACCACACACCTAGGGGCAATAAATGATTTATTGTAGTCTTTAACTAATTCAGAGGCCATTAGAATATTATCACTAATTAATCTACCTTTGATAAAGGCAGACTGTGCATTTTTAATCAATATGGGGTAGGTATTTGGACAGTCTGTTGGCTAACACCTTAGTAATACCTTTGTAGAGCACATTACAACATCATATTGGGTGAAAATCCTTCATTCTTTCTGCATTAGCTGTTTTGGGAATCAAACTAAGAATAATAGAGTTAATCTTCCTAGGTAAAATACCTGTTTCAAAGAAGTTCAGTATAGCATTCTCTACATCCTTGCCCACAATACTCCAATCAGCCTTGTAAAATCAGCAGGATAGCCATCTGGGCCTGGTGCCTTGTCTGATGCCATAGACATTAAAATAGATTTAATCTCCTCACGAGTTACCCCCTTTGCAAATCACTAACTCCCTCTGATGACAATTTAGTTCTGAGCTAGTAGCCCTTCATAAAAGCTCATTGGTTTCTCTAGTAATTACATATTGGAATCACCAAGTAATTTCATGTAGAAATCAACATCAACTTCTCCCAACTGCTTTACCTCAGTAACCCCCAAACCATCTTCAGAAACTAAAGGATCAATAGTCTGCTTCTTGTTGTGGATTCTCACATAGTTATGAAAGAAGGAGGTATTAAAGTTCCCTCCCAAGACACTTTTGTCTTAAAAAACTCTCCTTTGAAGCATGAGCCAGATGTCTCTCCCTATCCACATTCTCCTCAGTAGGTCCAGCAAGTATCTCATCCTTAAGCTTCTTCTTCAATCTCAAAAGCTTAAGGAAGAGACGATCAAAAGGATCCAGGACACCTATGTCAGAATCATCCCAAGCAGATTTCAATAAGTCCAAGTAAGTGGGGTGTGTTCTCCAGAATTTGAAGAATTTGAATGGCTTTGGAAGACTCTTCAACCCACTGAATGTCTATACCAACAAACCACAATGACCAGAAATACCATGGCTTAGTTTTCTAGCTGTACTGGATTGAAAGCCATCCAACCAAGGGCCATTCACTAAGACTCTATATATACGTCTGGCAATCAGATTAGAGCACTGTTTATTCCACCACGTATACTAGGAACCTGTGACCCTATGATCTACCAGGTTCATATCATCAATCCAATACAGGAAGTCCATCATGCTCTGGTTCACCACCACCGGGTTTGAGGCCTCATTAATCTCATCTATTGCATTAAAATCTCCAAACACCACCCATGGTACCTCATTCCTACGACAAACTCTCATATCCTTATACAACTGAGAAATCTTTTATGGGTCGTTTGGATGCAGTATTTTGATGAGGTAATTTGGTCGAAATAACTCAGAATGAGGTATTTCAATCAAAATAACTCGTTTGGCAAAAATAAAGTAGAATGTGGTATTTTGTCCATGAGTCAATTGAAATAACTCATTGTGAGTTATTGAAATACCTACCCACCCCCTAGTTATTTCAAATACCTCATCTCCCAACTTTTTTTCCCACTTCATCCCTTCTTTAAGTGGTGAAATACCACAATATTTGAATATTTTATCCAAACAAGGCAATTACACCAATTACCACATTTCAAAATGAAATACCACATGAAATGCCACATAGCAAAATAATGCATCATTTGAATTCGAAATACCATAGTACCCTTAGAATTATATATAGTTTCAGAATGTCTGACATTACATATATAGCGACTTTTGCATGACATGGAATTGAGATTTGTACAGCAAATAGATTACCAACTAGTATTAGAGTTGTGATGTGTTTTAATTTCCACCATTTTGTGGTCCCAGAAAATGATTAAATCATCTAGAGCACATTATTAATTCTGGAAGAAAAACTATACCAAAGAATATGGATCTCCAAGTAAGGCGGTCAACACGCAATATTTTGCAATTAATAAATTTCTGAAAGTAAGATATCAATCTCACAGGGTGTACTATGGACTTTGAGATTCATTTGAAGTGTATTCTTTGCCTAGAAAAGTCCAATTTCATAAATGACGATATCGCCTCATATATTCGGCTCTTCTTTCACCCAAATGACCCCTTGGATTGCTTAACCAGACAGCAACCTAGTGATCTGCCACAATCTGGCTCCTGAGTGGATCCCAAATAAAAAATCCCACCTTCTAGAGATCGTGGTTCTTGCGTGGTGGTCAAATGAGGTTAAAACTTAAAAATGAGCAAAAAATCAAAGAAGATCAATCGAGATGCGAATTAATACATGAAATGAGCTGGCTATACGCCTTGTTTATTACACACGTTCTCGCGCGAGGAAGCCGGCAATTGCTAAGCTTCCTATCACGTCGCATGAGCTCGCTTGGATCGTAAACATCGTGCTTCGTGCATATAAATATCCTAGCTAAAGATCTGTCCATCACACAAACAACCATTAAACGACCATTACCCTTGCCTAGCCGAAGAAGGATTAGGACCAACATTTCCTCTCCACGATACTGAAAGATGTCGTCACTCAACGTCCGAATCGTCTCGGAAGAAACCATCAAGCCGTCGTCCCCGACGCCACCGCACCTCAGAATCCACAAGCTTTCGTGCATGGACCAAGCCTCCCCTCCTCGCTACATGCCCGCACTCTTCTCCTACCCCACGAACCACGACTCATCACAAACCTCTTCCCAAACCGAAGTTCTCGAGAAGCTCAGATCCTCCCTCTCAACCACACTCAACCACTACTACCCTTTCGCCGGTAGGTTCCGCGACGACGGCGTCTCCGTCGAGTGCAACGGCCACGGCGTCCCTTTCGTCGTGGCCAGCGTGGAAGGCGACAACGCTGATATGTCATCTGTGCTGGAATCGCCCGACGAAGACCGCCTGGTCCAGCTGATTCCCTGCCATCCCCAGCAGAGGCTGACGGACACCAACGGAGAGTTGTTCCTTCTGGCCGTGCGGGTCAATTTTTTCAAGTGTGGCGGGATAGCCGTTGCGATCTGCGCCTGGCACGGCGTGGCTGACGCGTCGAGCCTCTGCTGTTTCGCCCAGGCCTGGGCCGCCATCTGTCGCGGGGACCCTAGGGTGTACGGCCTCCTCAAGGGTGCTGTAGTGGACTGCAGCTCCCTCTTCCCTCCACAGGACTCCCTGTCTCGCGGAGCAATGTTAAATTACCACAAGCAACCATCTGACTCGAACAACAGTTCGAGTCAGACAGCTGCTGTTAGTGTTGCTGCAGCAACCAGCATGGTGATAGTGAAGCGGTTCGTTTTCCCTGGCTCTAAAATCACAGCCCTCAGGGAAAGGATCATGATCAGCAGTGGCAGTCGTCGGCTGACACGTGTTGAGGCTATCTCTTCCCTCTTCTGGACAGCCACCATTCGGGTGGCTGAACAGAAGAGAAAGGAGAAGAAAGAGGAGGGGCATCGATTTCATTCCGCGGTGATGGTGGTGAACATACGAACGAGGACAAGCCCACCGTTGCCGGATGTGTGCATGGGGAACCTGATCCAGCCGACGGTGGCAGTGAAATGGCCGATGAATGACAGTGGCAAGAAGGCGACATTGGCTGGGGAGGATGAGGAGACGTTGTTATTAGGTGGCTTGGCGCGAAAATTGGGAGATGCGGTAAGGACAGTCAACCCAGAGCATTTGAAGCAGCTACACGAGAATGATTCAGAGGGTTATCTAGCCCTGACAAAATCGTTTGCGGAAGAGTATGCAAAAGAAGACTTCATCATGATAAGCAGCTCTTGTAGGTATCCGTTCTACCAAACCGATTTCGGGTTTGGGAGGCCCAGTTCGGTCCAAGGGTTTTCTAGGAGTAATAAGACGGTGGTGTTGTTGGATGCTAGGGACGGTGAAGGGATTGAGGCGTGGGTTACGTTGGATAAGGACGATATGTCCATGCTCGAGAAGGATCCCTCGATTCTTCATTATGCTAGCTAGTTAATTCTCATAATAATTGTTTTCTGAATGTACAAGTTTGCAAAGTTTTTCTTCTGTTTAAGAATGAATGTGGTGCGGTATGCGGACGACGTATGTTGTTGTATATCGAGCCCATAAGTTACCTGGGCAATGGGGTATACAAATTTGACAAAGGCGGGTCCGACACAAAAATATAACACATCTTTTATAAATGTTTTCAGTCATGATCATGACCTGCTTTCATATTTTCAAAACATTATAAAATACATCCATCCTCCAAATTATCTAGGACGTCACTCTCAATATATCTTACAAAAATATTTTACAAACTTTTTCTGATGTTTAATAAAGAAAGTAGTGTGCTATGCAAATATTGTATGTTAGTAGTCACTCAATTAAGTAGGGTCTGGCTACAAATAAAATATATAAAACAAAATTTATTAATTTTTTACAGAGACCCACAACTTGTTTTCATATTTCAAAAATATTTTAATATATGTTCATCAACCAAACTAACTAACATATCACTCTCAATATGTCCTACCAATAAATCATCTAAACTATTTGGACAAGTTGAGATTAGACTAGCAGTTATACTTATGGTTTTAGAGAATAGCATTTACTATCACTACAAAACAAAACACATACCGCAGGGGATTTTTTCAGTTTTAGTGACGGAAAAAACCGTTGCTAACTCCCGCCAACGGTTTTAGTAACAGCAGCAAAACCGCCGCAACTATAATCGCCGCAAGTTTACGACAAGGGTTATCCTAACCGCTGGTGAATGTTTTTACAGCGGTGTTTGTGACGGTTTTTACTGTCGCTATTGATATTTTTTCCCTCTCAAATATGAAATTTTAAAGAAATGGCGGATGCTTTTGCGACGGCATTGAAACCTCTGCTACAGGCCACTCTAATCTCACTTTTCAGAGCACCACCTACAAGCCTCTAGTAACGACTTTTAGCAACCATTTTTAATGACTATTTTTAGCATTGTCATTAAAACATTTATTACTATAACCTGTTGCAGCATTTCAAATTTTTGACAAATGTCAACAACCCCTGCAACCTGCCGCAATATTTCAATTTTCAAGACATCTATCAGTACTTTCAAAGTGTACATTACTTCACTAGATATTAGTATATATGAGGGTGGCTGAGTGTGAGAAGAGACATTGATGAGGCAAAAATCTACATGTCTTGAGCCAATAGAACTCATAGAGATGTATTTACGTATATTTACTTACTTTGATCAGCCCCGTGTAGCACTTTGGCTTAATGAAGATGGTGCATGGAATGAACCCTCAATTGGCTCCTTCTCCCTACAAAGATGTTGCAAGATAAATGCCTTCAGTGTATCTACTTCCATTTGCAGTTGTTCCACCCCACTTCCCAACCGAACCACTTTACTTTTCAATTCTACCACCTCACTTTTCAGTTCCACCACTTCACTTCTCAGTTCAACCACTTCAATACCTAGAGCGACTACCTCATTAGAGTACAATGTCGTGGTAGAATTTGTTGAAGCTGAGGAAGTAGAAGGCCCAAAATAGGTCGATGGGGTTGGTCCCAAGACAACACAACGAACCCTCCCAGGATGCTCGAGACCAAGTAGCTTCGGAAAGATCTGTTCATTACCAGCAGACCCTTCCTGTCAAAGAGTATGCGCCTTTTCCTGCGCAAAATTAGTAATCAAGTATAAAACAAAATTAGTAATACACAAATTTATTATCAAGCTTAATATGACAAATGAAGTTATAGAAAGATAAAATAAATTTTACTCCAAAACTTCCACTTGATCCTAATAACAAAAGATAGTGGAAAAGTACCATACTCTTGTGTACCAGTAAACTACACAAGCTTTTCTCAACATTCAGCAAAGTTATATCACTTGAACCAAATAAATCATTAGTAGTATAGAAAAGAAGAAGAGGAAGACAAATGAAACATTGGAGCTCTAGAATTATGCAACAACATTTAGTAGCATTTAGAACCAGCAGAACCCTATAACCGAGTGTGAATATAGATGAGCTAAATGTACTACATCTCTCGTTAGAGGAGTCACATATTTTCCATTCCAGAAAGTTGATTTCAAGTGAGCTAAACATTAATTTTCTCTCTAGCAAACCCAGCTGGCAGTTTCTTAATCAATGAAACAAGCATAAACCATAAGCACAGTACTAGAACATTCTGTCCTACCCGAAAAACAAAAAGAGCATCAATGGTGAAAAAGAGCATAACCCACACAAGTGCTCAGTTTTACTGATTGATAACAAAATACAAACGTAATATCTTCACAAGCCAAATATAGTTCAGAGATCAGTAGCAGTAAGGCAGAAGGATTCTGAAAACGAAGTATCTTCAAGTAAAATTTAAAGGAGTAGTATCAGAGGAGGAGGATCAAGTAAAAAAGTAAGAAAATCTTACAATTAGGGTTGTTGTTATCTCATTCACATAGGTCCCATTCTTTTTTGTATGAGTATTCTCAAAAGTTTCCATCCTATCAGTTTCTTTTCCAATTTGCCGAGCCTAATATACATAGGAATACAAATACCACAATTTGTAAATGTCACAATTAAGTTTGTAAAGAAAATTAAACAACTCTTATTAGGTAAAAGACATACTCTTATAGCCCTTCACCTCGCAAGGCTCATCCTTCCACATGTATGTGGAGTCTTCATGTTTCTAGCATTTTCAGCGTTTATCTGACTTAGTCTCTACAAATATTGCAATCATAAGGTAAAGAAGTTAAAATTAAAATAAATATGATGGCTAAAAATCGAATAAAGTAAATTTGGTCATACCTGAAAGTCTTCAATATGTTAGACCAAGCTAGGTCAATAATGGATACTTTTGACGTGGTCAATGCACAAATTAATTCAGATTTCAATAGTGAGAGATTAGCACTACCTTGATTGAGCAATCCAAAAGGGCTTGCCAAGGGCTTGCCAAGAATCTCTCCCGAAGTGATTAATTTGTTGGCACTGATGAATTGAACAAAGTCAGAGAAGGTATAGAGAGAGAGAGAGAGAGAGAGAGAGAGAGAGAGATGAGTCGGGACACGCGATTTTAACGTGGTTATCTCAACCACGAAATATGATCAAACAATTTCGCTATTACAAGGGAGCTAGTCCCAATTACAAATACCCTTCCTACCCTAAAATCCGACCTAGCTTGAATATCTCAACCCCCGAGATATCAAGCTATTCACACCACGAAATATGATCAAACAATTTCGCTATTACAAGGGAGAACAGAGCTTTTCTAAAGGTGTCTTGGCCTACAAATGACTCTACTATTTATAGTTGATGTGAGCCTTCATTTCCTTTCAATTGTAGTCCTTTATGTGTCAAGTATCTACTTGATTTGATACCCTTTTTGCTTGATATGGTAACTCCTTTGAGGGCAAGCAATCACTTTGAATTGTTTCCTTTTCCCTCATCATTGATTGTGATATTTCAGCATAGATTGTTAGTTCCACATAATAGCATATATTAAAAACAAAATATCCTATGATATTCACTTTGCTGAATCAAGCTTGTTGACTCAACACAATACCTTCGATTACCCAAAGTCTGCTAATGAGTATCAATAACATCTGCACGATTTTGCAAGGACTTCTTCAGCGGACTGTTCGGGATCATAATATAAACTTTTTAGTTTTGTCTTGTGGTCGCTGCACCTTCTATTAACATTTGTCAGAATCCATTTTGTGGTAACAGGTGGATATCAAAATTTGGTATGGTTCAAAATAAAAGAAAATTAGTCTATCATTTAGTGGCAAGGTTCAAAAAAGCGTAAAGCGAGCGTTGGAGCTCTCTACAAACTACATAAAGTTCCAGAGGTGTAAACATACTTGAACAAGATCCAGTATCTTCTCTTTATAATGACGAAACTCAGCCTTTCTCCAATTAAACTCCAAGGGTGTAAAGAACCCATTTCTAGCCACAACTCTCAGGAAAGATGCAAATAAGCCTAACTCAGGACCACATGGAATTCCATGTTTATTCACCTCGACATCAATCCTAACATTAGGATCCATGTTCCATAGATTAGCTAGGACTGTTGGTCCTCTCCTTTTGAGTCTTCTCCCGTTATTGTCTACATATAAGCACAAAAATAGGTAGTAAATACACATCAGTTGGAGTATAAAGAAAGGGCAAACAGTAACACAATATTATAATTATTAAAAATATAACATTAACAACATAGGTAGTAAATCCATCCTCGTTAGTTCCCTCAACGCTAATTGTTGTCTGCCCTAGTAATTGCTCCCCTACAGCTTCATTGGTGATTTGAGGTTGTGACTCCCTCTGAACTTGTCCCCTTACCGATTGCTCCCCTACAACCTGATTGTTGCTTTGAGGGTGTGACTCCCTCACAACTTTAATTATTTTCAAATTTCTTCCCTTTGTCACCATGATGTATTGGATATCAAGGCTGCAATTAACTACAAGATGAGAGAAAATGATCATATAAACTGTAATTAATAGTAAAATGGCAGAAAGACAGCTTCTCCTAACACCCTAAAGAACATCTAAAATAATTGTAAAGCTGAAAGCATTAGCAGAAGAAGGAAGGAAAGAATTCAGGGTCACCAAGAACATAAATTAAAACAATTTGACATTCAAATACTTCCATTGTACAATGTGCATTACATTAAAACATAAACAAACCTTAACAGAATCCTAACATCAGACAAGCACTACAAAAAATCTACACAATGAACTCCTCTTCCACATCATTTCGCACCCAAGTAGGGCAATCTTTAACATCTAAGCTACCAAAAGCACTTGGTGTTAGAAATCGAACAGGAAAAAAAGGGTTACGTACCGATCTAGAGCTGAGTCGTGGACTAGGTCGCTCTCTTTAATACGTTCGCGACAATGCCTTCGTTGCGCACGACAGACTATCAACCGGTCTACTCCAAGATAAAACAGCGCGTCTACGTGCTCGGCGGTTTTGTGCGAAAATCAGAGCTCTCTGAATACTCTTTCTCTCGTGTTTCTGCTCTCTATTGTATATTTAGAGGGTCAGGGGAGTCCTCTATTTATAGGAGAAAAAACCCTAGAATATTTTCTTTTTCATGGAGAATAAGTCACACTTAATAGAAAGATAATTACTCCCATAATTAAAATGTGTTCTATTTAAAATAATTAAAATTAAATATCTTCCTAATATTCATTTTATTAATTATCCTTCTTATTTTTCGTATATGAAAATATACTGGATAACTAATTAGGAATTTCATTTATAGCTTTTCAAAGCTATTCATTCCAACAATCCCCCACTTGAATAATTTTGAAACTATCTCTGAGCATCAACAATTCCATAAGATCGGGAATAAGCTAAGGTATCACGAAGATTTGAATCTTAGCGTAGTGGTTACCCTTCCGATTTCATAAGGGTGACTCATAGTCTTGAACCCTATCTCAGATAGTGTAGCACACCGGATCTTTTCATTGAGTGGTATTCTCTCATAGCCCGTGCTTTTATGGCCCTACACGTTATCTGGTTTAGTGAATGCTCTAGCAACTTTGTGCCTCCAAAGTTCCATAGGGAGCGGCCTTACTCCCACATTCACATAGGTGAGTCTATCAAAAGTACCCCCCAAATTAAAGTACTTCACTCCACATAGAGTATAGATCTCATTAAGAGTTTAACTCAACCTCCAAGGCTTTGGGATTCATGCTTCACTATGCATGAACTTTTCTCAATATTACTCATGACTTGTCTCATACCCTTCATGGTTTTTGGACTTTTTTTGGGATCTCCATTCTATCATATTGGGTTACCATCACTTGTAATCCATGGTTCGATAGACATATCTCATACCCTTCATGGTATTTTGGACTTTTCTCTCTAGGTAATCCTTTCGTCAAAGGATAAGCTAGATTCTGTTAGGATCTTACATGATCCATCCTCATTGCTTTTATCGTTAGGAGTTCTCTTACAGTACTATGCTGACGACTAATTTGTCGTCTCTCTTCATTCTAGAATAGATTCCCTTCTTTTGCGATAGCTGCTAAGCTATCACAACAAATCAACTACTGGAGGGATCGGTCTTCCCCATAAAGAAATCACTAGTAAATACTTGATCTACTTGTGAAGAAATTACGAATGGATCATTGTGGTCTTTTTGTTCACACTGATCCGTTGGTTGCCTCTTTTCCAAAGCCTTTTAAATTTTTCACATTCTGGAGGCAGCATCCTCAGTATCAGAGTTTGTTGGAGGGTGCTTGGCAAACTGAAGTTAAGGGAGTTCCATATTTCCAATTGTATCAGAGGTTGAAAGAACTAAAGCTCAAGCTGAAGGGTTTAAATAGATCTCAGTATTATGAGATTTCTTCACGGGTAAAGGAGGCTGAAACTAAGCTTGAGGCTTTGCAGCAAGATATGTTAGATGATCCTACTACTCAGCACTCTAATGCAGTTTTGGAACATGAGAAGGTTTGTAGAGACTTGCAGAAGGTTGAAGAGCAGTTTTACAGATAGAAATCAAGAATTAGAAGAATTATTGAAAGGGGCTCTAATACTAAATATTTTCATAGTATGGTTAAAGTAAGAAACCATAGAGAGATTATTCAAAAGTTGATTACTGATGAGGGACTTGTTCTTACTGAGGTAAAGGCTATGGGTCAACTGGCTGTTGAGTTTTACAAGGGCTTGTTAGGTAGAGCAGACCCTCTGGTTCAGGACACTCCACTATCCTTTTTTGAGGATATGCTCTGACACAAGCTTGAAGAGGGTGATGTTTACATGTTGAATTCTTCTGTTACAAGAGAAGAAATTAAAGCAGTTTTCATGGCTATGGGTAATGATAAGGCACCAGGACCAGATGGATACACAGCTGAATTTTTTAAACTGTACTGGAATGTTGTCGGCAGAGCTGTTGAAGACACTGTGTTGGATTTCTTCAAGACTTGTGTCATGCCTCAATAGGTAAACTCAACTATTATAGCTCTCATTCCTAAGCTAGCAGTGGTGGATAGAATGCAAAATTTTAGGCCAATTTCGTTTTGCAATGTTGTTTATAAAGGAATCTCAAAACTGTTGGCAAATAGGCTTTCCCTAGTGTTACCAAAACTCATTGGGGCTAGTCAATCTGCATTTGTTAGAGGGAGACTTATTAGTGACAACATACTCATGGCAACAAAATTGGTTAAAGATTATCACAAGGCCACTGTTTCATCTATATGTGTTCTGAAGATTGATTTGATGAAAGCATTTGATTCTGTGGATTGGAAGTTCCTGTTGAAGGTTATGATGGCTATGAATATTTCATTGAATTTCATCAAACTGGTTGAAGCTTGTGTCACAACTCCTATGCTGAGTGTGGCTTTTAATGGTGGACTTTGCAGTTATTTCCCAGCAGGCAAAGGGTTAAGGCGAGGGGATCCTCTCTCCCCCTACCTGTTTACTATTGCCATGGAGGTCTTTTCTTGTATGTTAGCTAGGTATGTGTCTCAAGATTGCATTCCTTATCATCCACGATGTAAAGGTCTTGGAATCACTCATCTCTGCTTTGCGGATGATCTCCTGGTGTTTTCCAATGGTTCAATTAGGGCAGTTGCTGGGATTAAGAGGTTGCTTGACAGGTTTTATCATGTTTCAGGGCTGAAATGCAATATGGCCAAGTGCTAATTATTCTGTGCGGGAATTTCAGAGGAAGAGCAGAAGTGGATTTCAGATTTCACAGGATTCCCTTTGGAAGAATTACCAGTAAGATACTTAGGAGTGCCTCTTTTATCTGGGAGACTATCAGCTCAGGACTGTAGCATCTTGGTGAGTAAAATAACTAAGAAGATCACCACTTGGCAAGCCAAAATTCTTAGCTATGCTAGGAGAATATAGTTGATATCCTCTGTTATCACTAGTGTGTTTCAATACTGGATGTCTGTCTTCCTGTTACCATTGAGGGTCTTAAAGTCGGTTGAAGATGTGTGCAACAATTTTCTATGGGGGGTTGGTTTGGATGGGAGGAAAAAGGCACGTGTATCCTGGTCAAGAGTTGCTTTACTAAAAACAGAAGGAGGGTTGTGGATAAGGGACTTCAAGACATGGAATAAGGCTTGTGTTCTTAGGCATCTATGGAACTTGCTTGCTGAGGCAGGATCTTTGTGGGTTGCCTGGATCCAAAAATATAGAGCTAAAGGGCGAGACATTGGGGAAATACCTGCAAGCTCTGTCAGTTCGTGGGTGTGGAAGAAAATACTCAAGTGCCGAGGGATTGCTCAGTCCCATATCACTGGGGTAGGTAATACTCGTGTTTGGGATGGGAACTCATTGATTAAATATTCTGTTAAGTTGATATGGTCTTCAATTCGTGCCCCATCCTCTACTGTTGAGTGGTGTTCTATTTTGTGGGGTAAGAATTTTATCCCAAAGCATAGTCTGCTGGTATGGTTGATAATTTTGTATAGAATTACAACGAAAGACAAGCTTGAAAGTTGGGAGTTAGCAGGTGAAATTTGCTGTGTTCTGTGTCCTGGTGGGTCTGAAAGTCGAGATCACCTATTCTCTTTATGTTCATACAGCACTGAGATTTTCTAGACAATGTTAAGAAAAGTCTGCAGATGGCCTTCTTTCCAGGACTGGTGTTCTCAGTTGCTCTGGGTGACGCAGAGATGGTCAGGTACAAGTTCGAAAGCTAAGATTGGCAGATTGTTATGGACGAGGTGTTGTGCATATATTTGGCATGAGAGATGTACTCTCATTTATGGTGCAAGAAGAGTCTCAGATCCTATTCAAATCTCAACTACAGTAGTGCAGGAGCTCCAAATATACTCAAGTAGCACAATTGACTTGCAGAAGATGGTCATGGAAGTGCTGGGTTTATACAGCCATTTGTTTTGTTTTTTGGAATTGTTTACTTGCTGGTATAGGTTTCTTTTGAGTGTAAAGCGTTGACACTTTGAGGGGGAGGCTGCGAGTTGCACCTCCCAGGGCTTCAATACAACTTTTGATTAACCATAAAAAAAAATACGAATGGATCATCATTGAGATTATCTCCAGTATGGATAACTCTGGAAACATTCATCGAGGTAAACCAAACTCATCTTGTTGCGTGCCTAAGTGATGGTGAACATCAGCCCAGTCGCATTTAAACAATACGACCCTAAAACTACCGTAGTAGTTCAATTCAATAATGTCTGTCAATCTACCGTAGTAATTTACTTGTCCTACTTCAGTAACATTAACAACACCATTGTTTTGTGTTAATAGGTCCTTCTCCCTTGACGTAGTATGGAACCTAAGACCCTTGATCGAGTATCCTGAAAACCTTCCTATAACACGGTTTGGACCTCTAGCAAGAACTTTAATTTCTTCGGGGACACTTGGATCATCCTTAACCTAAAACATAATAGAACAGATGTATAAGTAAAAGTCCCCTTTTAATTATAGAACTTTTAATTTACATGGTAATCTCAGAAGAACTTACTTCTGCCACCAATTTTGGAACTTTTCATTTACCAATTTGTCAATATTTTCCCTGCTTAGGTGAGTATGATTACATCGTTTCTTCTTCTCCATGGAGATGAATTTTCTAGGTTACAAAACAATAATGAGATCACTAGAACTTATATGACTATACTTACTGTCGAAAGGTCTCATCTCGTTGCAATGTCGCAAAACATAACGGTGTTCTTGCTGCCATGATCTTTCACCTAAGCGGTCATCTTCAGCCGCTCCTATATGCTGCTCTCTAGAACAAAATTTGTAATCAAGGCTATCATCATTTGCACATGCATCAGGATTCCTTATTGGCCTATTGCATCATGTTTCGACTCCTTCTAGATAGCGTGAAGCAAATGTTGCACACTCATCAGATTTGTATATTCAGAAATCGATCCTTCAGGACGAGCTCGATTATGGACAAATGACTTCAACCGCATGAAGTACCTAGGGAAAAGAAAAGGGACAGTTATAGCTAAGTAGCTAGGAAAAATGAAGAGTAAAACAAAGACTACTAGCAACTACTGCAGATATATGGGGCAAGCTAAAAAGGAAGCTTTTCTTGGTCTCAACCTAGGGGGGCTTTGTTTTTTGGCAGGCTGGAGGGCAGAAGAATTAGATTGGATCTTATAATTTGGATAGAATAGAAAGGGATATATATATAATATGCCAATAGCATCCAAACAATGATTCAACCGAGGATTTTATTCTTTTAACTAGTAACAACAGATCATAGGCAGCCTAATTTATATATCGATTAACACAGAGATTTCAAAATGGATACAATGATTAGCAGTTTGATGGCATACCTTTCTAATGGGTACATCCATCTAGAATGCACTAGTCCACCAAGTCTCACCTCATCTACTAAGTGAACCATCATATGTACCATTGCTGTGAAGAAAGATGGCAGAAAAGTCTTCTCCAAGTGGCAAAGAGTTATGATAATCCAATTTTGGATATTGTCAAGCTCATTGACATTTAAGACCTTTGAACACAATGCTTTGAAGAAAGCAGCAAGCTCAACAACAATGTAAGTCACTTCATTAGAAGGACTACATGCCCTTATGGCCACCAGAAGGATGTCCTCAATCAAGATGTGAAAGTCATGACTCTTAAGGCCATAAAATTTACAATTGTCGATATTTATGCAACTAGATAAGTTTGAGCCATACCCATCAAGCATTTTTACATCCTTCAAAACTCTGCAAAGAACAAGCTTCTCCTCTCTTTTCATACTAAAACAAGCATTAGGTAATTTGTTTTTTCCATTATCTAGAGTTTGAGGATGCAATTCGCCTTTGATGTTCACATCAACTAGATCCTGTCAAGCTTGTAGGTTGTCTTTTGTTTTTGTCTCAAGATTCAATAAAGTACCGATGAGATTATCGCACACGTTCTTCTATATATGCATCACATTTAAATTGTGACGCAATAAATAATATTCCCAATAAGGCAGCTGAAAGAATAGACGTCTCTGTTTAAACCAATATGCTCACTCACTCGAATCACCTTCACCCTCCCTCCTCTTATCTTCCTCCTTTTTCTCTTCACTTCCTTTTTCCCATAACAGAATTGTCTCCCTTCTAACTTCCTTAAAATTTCACTTCCATTGAGTTGTTTAGAGACTGTTTTTTTGCTCATGTGTGCCATCAAAAAAAGAGCATTGAGAGCGAAAAGTATGATCTTCCGGTAACCACCGACGATGCTCGATATAAAAAAACTTCCTTCCATGTTCCAACCACTTCGAGCAAGTGGATCCAGATATATCTTTCTTTATAAATGGTAGAGTAAGTGTTTTTTTTTAGTTCTAGCATGCCTTGATGGTTGTAACAGTTGACAACACTATTTGTTTTTCGATTTGACTTGTTGAGTTTAATGAAATTTGATTTAACTAATAAATTTTTGGGTAAATACAATTTAATAGCCAAACCTTTCGTTTTAAACAAAATAATAGCCAATCCTTTTCGAAAACAAATTAATAGTCAAAACGTTAAATTTCCGTCCGGTCAACCGTTAGTTTCGTCGGCTACGACAACGCTTTCATCGACTCTCTATCCGCCGTCTCCGACAACCACGAGGTAATTTAATTGCAGCAGCCCGATTATGATAATGAGAATTTAGAGTTTTCCTTTGCTTGATTATTTAGTATCAGGAACAAGGATTTTTTTCGTAGTTCCCGCAACTCTGTTAGGTTGAGTTAATGGCTAAATCCCTGCTTCAACTTTGTCCAATTGCAGTTGCTAATATTGCATTTGTTGCAGGTTGTAAAAAGAGGACTCCATTCTGACGGAAGACACAATGAACCCTTGCCACCGAAAACCCTCTCAAATCGGAGCGGGGGATTTTCTGGGCCTCCAACAACCCTCCAAAATAGTTGCCGGTAACTCCACCGCCGCCAGCGACACACTGGAAAATCTAGCCAATCAATCTCCCCCTTTGAAACTTGCCTTTTTATTTCTTTTCCCTATTCTCTCCAGGAAGCTAATCGGAGCTCGATATTATTCCATGGCTTCAGCAGGGACGCTGACGGCCACGGGAGCCACATGGCGTCGACGGCTGCGGGGAGCGTGGTCTTGGACACAAGCTTTTACAGGCTGGTTAGCAGGGTCGCAAGGAGAAAGGGAGGAGGACGACGAAGGGTTGAGGGGATTTCTAGTATTTATTTTCTACTTTATAAATAATTAAAAAATATTTAATTTCTTGCCACGTCATTAAAAACATTCCATCTTGGCAAAGAGTTTGCCACATTAGAGTCAACTAATAGTTGATCGGACGGAAAGTTAACGATTTGGTTATTAAAATGTTTTAAGAAAGATATGGCTATTATTTTGTTTAAAATGAAAGGTTTGGATATTTTATTGTATTTACCCTAAATTTTTTGAAACAATGTAAACTATTTGTTTAGCCTCTAGAAATATTATTTGCCCGTGGAATTATGATAATTGGTTAATGCAATTAAATTCCATTTTACCTAGATACTAGCGTGGCCCCGGCCAGTTGGTCGGAGGAAGGTGAAGTATGAAATTTGATAATGTAATGGGGTGTATAGCTTATTGTTGTATAGTTTTTTTTGGGAAACACGTGACAAAAATAGTGAATTTTAGTAGGAAAGAGACATTAATGATGCAACGATATGGTTTCTGGTAACATGATGAGGTGGAGTAAGTTTTATAGAAACCGAATTCCAGAAAGTCGAATAAAAAATCGCCTATCCCGCTGGTTTTTCGGGAAATGAGTGTTGCTAGCTTTCACTCGGCCCGTTGGCCGATTAATCTGCTTTATACAACTTTCATTACGTAATCTATTAAATCATTAACGCTTCTAATTTAACTGTTACGTAACTTCAAAACATGGTAGGAGATGCCTTTCATTTTAGATGATCGTTGACCTCGACTTATACGCCAACACATATATTTGGTTTAATTTTTTTTTTAATTTTTTAATTTTTTTTTTTTTGCAAACGTAACTTTACCCTTTGTTCCCGAAAGAAGGAAATGGAGGGGAGGGGAGGGGAAAGGAGGGGAGCACAATTTTCTAGACATTTTCCCCATTTTTTTCTAGCTCTAAAACAGTAATGAGGGGAGGGAATGGGACGAAAGCAACCATCCAAATTGGAGGGAAATCTTGTTGTTCTTTATTATTATTTTTTTGTTTCATTCTCTTTGTCTTTTCTTTTTCCCTTTGTTCTCTTCTTTTTGTTTTTGAATGTGACCTTTATATAGTTCCAATTCATTTTTATAGCTTCTTTTTATAGTAACTGGCTTCTGCGGAATTTTAAATATTAATGTTGATAGTTAATTAATGAGACATTAGATATATAGCTCCAATTAGATGTTTATGTTTGTGTTTTCAGTTGCTATGTTCATGAATGAATAGAATAGCAAAAATAATTTTAATAATAGGTTGATAAATCTTTTAAGTCATCTACTTTTGATTTTTAATATTGAACAAAATTAGCAAGAAAGTACAAATTTAATTCACAATTCATAAACAATAAAAATAATATCAACATATAATAAAAAAAATTACTATTATATATCTAATAAAATAACATATCTATTACAATTCCCAATACACACTTTTCTTTCCACTTTCCTCCATAAACACCATTTTCTTTCCAGTTTCTTTAACCTCCAAATTGTCTCTTCCCCTCCCCCTCCATTTTCCTCCCTTCTTTCGGGAGCAGAGGGTTAAACTACAGCGGACATTATTAGCAGACTTGAAATCCAACTTCGGTATTTTTTCGTTCCTCACTTCGTGAACGAGCTTATGCAATCTTCTGGTCTTCTTCTCCATCATTATGCAAACGCTGCATGTGCAATTATATGGGCACAATAATTAATATTAGTGGAAGAGAGAAAGATAATTACTATGAATTGAAATTTTAAATTTAAAACATAGGTGAAAAGAAAGAGTTAGTTCTTTGTCGTACGTAGTACCTCGGGCAAATGTTTCACCAGTCTTCTCGTTAAAGATGAGGACCCAATCGATTCCCAAATCATTCTTCCCTTTTGTTTATGCCCAAGTCTCCACTTGCAAGACATCACACCTGCATTTGGGGATAAGAAGAGAAGTTTTTACGACCACTTTTAAATAACAAACTCGTTGCAAGTGTAGGATTTGAATCGACGACCAATCAGTTAACAACCGATCAGTCTACCCTTTAGGTTGATTAATAAACACAATATTTGATCACCATGTGTCCAGTCCCAGGAGTCACCATCCAACCTCAAAGTGGATGGTAGCATCCCACATTATGGATACCATCCAGTCTCTAAGTAGATGGCACCATCCCATATAGTGGACACCATCCAACCTCTTAGTGGATGCATGGTGACCATCCCACATCATGGACACCATCCAACCTTACGGCGGTGGTACCATCCCACCTTACAGTTGATGGTACCATCCCAACACCAAAGTGGCTGGTATCATCCAATATAGTGGACACAATCCAATCACTTAGTGGATGCTGACCATCCCACATCATGGATACCATCCAACCCTACGGTGGATGGTACTATCCCAAATACCATAGATACCATCCCATCCCCAAAGTTAATAGTATCATCTCATATAATGGACACCATGCAATCTCTTAGTGGATAGTGACCATCCTACATCATGGATACCATCCAACCCTACAGTGGACGGTACCATCCTATATCATGGACATCATCCAAAGTATAAATTGGATGATACCATACCATATCATGGATACCATCCAAAATATTAGTTGGATGGTTCCATCCATTTTGAAACAAGATGGCATGGTGAAGTGTCTAGAGACTTCCTTCGACGATAACTGACTTGCGTAGAGGCTAAGCTGAGCTACTTTTCAGGAGGAGGAGAGAGAGAGTAGTTGTACGAATCTGGGCAACAAAACTTAAAGCAACCTTTTGGAGAAAGGTAGACAAACACAATCCAAAACAAAGACAACTTGTCTCAACGGTCCCTTTTTCGTTTTCTCTGTAGTTTGTGGAGCTCTCCTCCATGAAGAATCCTCCATAGCAGTAGTCTTAGTTGTATTAGCGAAAATCTCAAGGAATCTCCATAGGATTAGTGTAAGGTAAAGTAGATTCCCCTCACACTAAACACCCTCGTTCAAATAATGTTTGAAGAGATGTGGACCGTAGTAACAATCGTCACCTTCATAGAAGTTAGGTGCAACCCATTCGCTCGTTTTTCCATCTTAAACAAATTGACAGGTCTAGTGAAACACGTGTGTTTGGTATGGCTTTGCGACGGAGGCAACACGAGGATTATCTTCCATAAGGTTTCGTGGAGTAGGAGCAGTTGGTCAATGTGGAAGTTGACCAAGTTGGAGAGGCTTCAGGCATTAGTGTTGGAGCAGCGGTGTCACCCTTGGCGCCAAATGGAGATCCATGTGAACCAGTGCCCTCAATCCGCCAAATGGTGAAGGAGATTCATTAGATGGTGGTTGGAATTTGTAAAATCGACCAACAGGTAAATCTTCAAATTGCCTCTGTACATAAGCATTTTGATCATCTTGAACAAAGCTTTTATAAATTCTGTGATAGGTTGATTGATATATATGTTTATGATTTTCAAATTTCAGAGTATGAAATTATGCATGATGTATCCACTATACTATAAAAAATCTTGTTGTTGAGCGACAAAGATTTGGTCAATGAAAAAATTGAAACAGTAAGCATTGGCAAAGATTGTGGTTTAGGTAGTCAGCCACAATTGGTCGATGAGAAAGTTGGGTATCAGCCCATTTCGATGGACAATCCACAACTTCATGGTAAAAGTAGTGGTCAATTCAACTTTTCGTGCTTGATTGGGAAAAAAAAGGTTAAAGAGTCTGCATATGCCAAGATGAAATTGGTAGTGGGTTAGATAATGTTAATAAGGACTCACCCCCTACTTTGGCTTCAATGTTGTTTCCAGAAGCAAGCAATTCAAATGTTTCCTTTCCAGTAAACGCTATTTCTTGTAAGGGCACAAGATTTAGAGATTGCTTACAAAAGCCATTGCGAGGAAGTATGTGTGAACGTGCTTCTGGAAAAAGCAAAAGTAAAAAACATGGTAAGAAACTCGTATGTGAATACATTGAAAAGGGGAAGCACAATGGAGAACCTGATAATAATGATTAAGTTAACCTGCTAGGGAGCATACCATCACACTTTTTGGCAGGATGACTAATTACTCATGTTCCACCAAGTTAGGAGATGTTGCAACAATGGTTACCAAAACCACTTCTCTGTGTCAGGATGGTGACCACATGCTAAAATCCAAAGAAAAAAATGGCCTAACTCATCGTGATCCTATACTGAATATTTTGTCAAAAAAATCTTCCACAAGAGGGCAAGTTAGTGTCCCGAAGTTTGAACAGGGGGCATGTCATCAACCAGCAAAGATCGATTGGGGGGCATGTCAGACAACTTGAAAAAAGTTCAGCCTGCACATGACTCCCATAAAGGTAAAAGCATGATCAGGAATAGACTAGGGTCATGTCACCAACCACAACAATTGGATTGGGGCAAGTCAAGCAATATGCGTTATGATCTAGCCACTCATGGCTTGCATCAATTTAAGAGTGTAGAAAAGGATGAACAAGGTTTTAATATGTCAACCAAAAATGATGGACATAGTGGCATGCATAAGAAGTTTCAATATGCACCAACGAAATGTGCTACAATAAATGGTGAAAGGTGGTTGTGTGCTAAGTGTAGAAGTCGACAAGACTTTGGGGTCTGCAAACAAAGACAAATGAGCCATGTAGGTGGCAGTGGACGTGTAAAGTCTAAGTACACATCCCCTCGAAGCTATGTGAACAGTAGACATGAAGCAGTTTGGGGGAAACCAAAACAGAGATGTGCTAGTGGTTTTCCATCGAATCCAAAAGAATTGAGAATGCATGATGTACCTTATAGAGCAACTCACAACCACAGGGGTCGATGTCAACAACCGGATGAGCTGGTTGGACAACTCGAGTAGAGAGGCATGATACCACATGTAAGGGTGGCAAAAGTCATGTTCGAAAATGCAACGTGACATTAAGATGGAAAATGTCTCTTTAGAGTATACATCTCATTTGACTGAAGGAAGCCAGGTGAGGTATGCATGGCTTGTGTGGTTTGACCAGTGGAGTTGGCAGTGGGTGTATACCTATGGATCCTTAGACATCTCCAACAACTCACTCAAAATGCCAAAAATATCAAAATAGCTCCTCCAACAAATTTTGGGAAATACTAAAATGCCCAAAATCCTATAATTTTATAGCCAAATACCAATTTGAATAAGACAAGGAATGCCAAAAGTTGGCTCAAATCCGGCCACACCTTTTTCCTTCAAACTGACGCACTTCTCCCCTCCTTTTTTGTCGTTGGGAAGACAAAAAAAAATTCAGTTTTAGTTCTGCAATTAAATTCCAACGGCTCTATTAGCTTCCAACTCAATAATTTTTTTATATCAAAATTAAAAAAAATTATCGAAACGTTCGTCTTAATTAATTATTACTACCTGTATACAAATAATCTAAAAATTATTCAATTAAAGTAATGAAATCTACACTAAACTAGATTATCACAAAAGGAGAAGATTAGGCATTCTAGCATTTTGGCTTTGCTTGTTGGAGCAAAAACCAATTTTTGAGTGCCAAAATGCAAAAAAAAAAAAATATGACATTCTAGGATTATGGAATTTGGTTGTTGGAGATGGTTTAGTCACTGCTAAGGGTTATGGCAAGTGGTGATGAATCACAACTCTTGCCATAAAATTAAAAATATATATATGGGCAGTTCTAGGGTGCCGAGGGAAAAATCAGGGGTACGGGTAACCGGGGGCAAGGAAAATTACCAAAAGCATCACGAAGCGTTGTTCATTGGACTTCAACCTAACTGTACCCGGTTTAATTATATCGATTAAGAGGTTAAACCCTATGGATACGACCCGCCGCCCTAACCAATTTCTAGTCCCTCATTCGTCTTGGAGGGGACGTCCCCTCTTAGTTCGAAGTTCGAACATAATCCTTTTATCATCGTTTCTGAAATCTCAAATCTCAAATCCTTTTATCATTTGATCGACATTCGATTTAGCTCCCAATCCAATATCAAAATCCCCAACATCATCATGTTTTGAACCCCAAATCTATGTATCCACTTTCGAAGAGAAGATCCCTTTTCAATTTAAAATCCCCACATAATCATCATTTTGAACCACAAATCCTTGTATCCACAATCGACGTTTTGTTCTTCGTCATTTTATTTCCGACCGGAATCTAAAATCTCCACATAATCATCGTTTCCTTGTATCCACAATCGACGTTTTGTTCTTCGCCATTTTATTTCCGAATGGAATTTACACAAATTGAAGATGAAATAAGCAACACAGTCTTCGACCTAATTGAGAAAGAAGATGAAGAAGACAGAATTTGATTCGAATCAGATGGAGAGGTCGCCTTAACTTGTGTTTATGTATTAACGGTGCGTTTAGGACAAAGTCTAGTTGGGCTTTTAAATTCCCTTCAAAAGTGGGCTTGTGTACATGATCCGGATTGTGAAGAGGTTGGGCTTTTATTTACATCTGCGTCTGATTCTGCTTCTGCTTCTAAATCCTGATCATGTCTTGCATTCACGCAATTTGAACACAATTATGTGGGGTGTCCTGCGGCGGGGAGATCGAGGATCTCAGCAAACTGATGAGGCTGGAAGCAGACTCTATGACCCAGGAAGATCGACACGAGATGAGAATCGTAGGGACCAGACAGCTCTAAATTGTGGTAGAACTTCCTCACCACATGCGGGCAGTAACTGGTGCTTCCTCGACTCCGGAGATCAAAGAACTTTTCCCAGCCAAGATTTTTAATTAACTTCTTCACTTCTTCAGGGAAAGGACTAAGGTGGATGAACTCGTACTCGGCCACAATTGATGTCTTGCTTGTGAATGAAAGATAGTCCCCGAGACTTGCGGTGGATCGGTAGTCTTCGTTTGAAAGAGATAGTATCCCCATTTCCGCAAAAGATTTACCTTTGTTTGCCATGGAGTCAGAGGAAGAAGGAACAAGGGAAGGTGAAGATGGAGGAAAGAGAGAATGTAGGTGTAAGAAAAAGTGATCGTGGGGGTTGAGTGTGGAGACGTGAGTGTGATGGAGACGGTTGAGTCTGGAATGTCAAGAGTTAGAATATTTTGGAAGATATGTAGTAATGATGATGTTAACTCGTGTAGCTTAAACTAGGGTTAGTAAAGCTAGTTAAACTAGGGTTGGCGCACGAATTGATACTGCAGGAGAAAACAAATGGGCTCGCACGTTCCAGGCCCACTTTTGAATATTGCATGGGTCATGTACAAGCACACGTTTGAATGTTATTTAAAAGCCTGCAAAAATCAATGATCAGACCTAGTCCAACTAGAATTACTCCTAAACGCGCCGTTAATACATAAACACAAACTAAGGAGACCTGTCCATCCGATTCGAATCAAATTATGTGTTCTTCATCTTCTTCCTCAATCCTCTGGGCGAGACGAACACTACATATCAGGAAACCTAAATTTCACCGAGAGATATAAGGTTCGAGAAAATCACAATAACGCTAAGACAAGATGACAAAGCACTAGCGACATGAACCGTAGGGTTAGCAAACCTCTTTCAAGGGTTCTTTTGCAAATGAAAAGTTTGATGAACACAATAATAGACACGGTCGCCGTAATCGTGTTAGAAAGAGATAGGCGAGGGGAAAAAAATGGCGAAGAAGAAACAAGACAAAATAAATTGGAAAATTCAATTTACATCGAATGTGGATGCAAGTAATTGGGATTCAAAAAGATGATTAAGTTGGGGAGTTCAAATTGGATGGGGAGCTTCTCTTGGAACTGTGAAGGGGCGTCCCTCCAAGACGAGAGAGGGATCGTGTTATTGGTTAGGGAGACTGGAAATTGGTTAGGGCGGCAGTGGGTCTACCCAATTGGGTTTGCAGTCTTAATCAATTTATTTTAATCGGGTCAGTTAGTTGGATTAGGATGAAAAAAACTTAACGCGGCAGGAGCCTTTTTGTAATTTGTTTAGTTATTTAGTGCGCAGGAAGGTTTAACAAATGTAAGCCGTGGAGATTGAAAACGAATGGTTAAGATCAGCCAAGGTACCCGTACCCGGATTTTGCCCTGGGCACCGTAGAAGTCACCATATATATATATATGGTTCAGACTAGCGTACACCTGATTTACGCTGTATGCCAGTGTTCACACTTGTTATTATTTTTAATTAATTATAAATTAACCAATAATTGATAATAATTATAATTGCGATAAAATCTATGAATTTAATTTTTGATACAATTTAGTCCCAAATATTCTTTACCCTAGTAAGAATGTGGGCTTTGCTATTTTGGCTTCAAGTTTGTTCAAAGTACGTAGGCCAATAAGCCCATTACAGTCAAACGATCAAAGCTTAATTAGCAAGACTAGTTTCATCGTCTTCTTCCCAGTTGACGCAACAAGTTCTGAAACCTAGAGAGTAGAGAGAGAAACTTTCAATTATGAAATACAGAGCATGAAATTAAACAAAATTGACGTCATGTATCCATCCATCCTCAATCTTCTCTATTCTCGTTCCTTCAGTACTCGAGAGTCCAAAAACTCAGATACTTGAACTCCAAATCCAAGCCATTCCTCATTTTCATCCTTCCAATGAGAACTAAATCCAACCCGCGCAATTCTGCAGCAAGGAATATGGATTCGAATAAGAGCCCGCAGTTGCACCGACCATTACAGAGGAATTTCGTCACGAAAGAGACGTCGTTGGTTCAAAGCATGATGCTGGCTTGGAGAGCTTAAACTATATATGTGATTGCAAATCAGAGTACCCACCTAGCATTCTCGGCAGCCTCTACCTCAAGCTGCCAGTTAGTGAACACTTTGGCAACGGCGAGTTTCAGGTCTCTGGTCAGAAAGTACAATCGATTGTTGTTGCATGGATGTTCACAACATGATTGTGAATAGAAAGGCAGCGGTGACAGAGGTTTTCTGGGCGATTAGAGGCGGAGGACCAGGGAGCTTTGTGATTGTATCGTAGAAGGTGAAACTAGTCAAACTTTCTCATGAATCGAAATTCTTTATTGTTTCCCCATCGAACTGGTAGTCACATTATTAATTTATATCATACCCATCTGTCTGGCGCAAACCCACCTCCGGCGACCACCACAAACAGGACGAGCAAGACGAGGAGAGTGACGGCACAACAACGTCGAGGTGAACAATCAGCACCAGAATGTGCTTTCTAATAGTTAAGATCATCGACGGCGACCGGCGGTCGAGGAGGATTGTCAGTCGTGGGAAAGCCCGGTGTATGTCGACTTCGTTTTGGTGTTGGGCCAACAATGGAGATTTTGGCTGGAGATTTAGGTGGACTAAAACTTAAACAACAATTAGTTAATGGATGTGGTTGTAATGCGAATTATTATTAATAACTAATGTACTAATAATTAAAGTTAAATATTTAAATAATTAATTTTCTAGTGTGAACACAAATGTATAAGGTATACGTTAGTGTTTGCCATATATATATATACATATAACGAATAAATAAATAAAGTGGTGAACAAGACATTCTAGTTGGTTTTTGGATAGTGTTGTCCAAAAAAATATCAACCATGTTATTTGTGGATAATTGTTGATTTGGGTTGAGTAACCATCCATGATTGAAGAGGCAAAGGTGCACTCGGGGATGCAGTTTTGGCCATGCACAAAATCCGATTATAAAAATCATGGGGATAATAGCTTGGAATTTGGAGCATATAAGAGGTGCAAATTGTGGGCACGTGTCCAAGCCATGTATCCGTTTAAAAAATAAAATATTAATACACAATGGTCGCTTACCCAGCCAGCTAGGGGTGGGCATTCGGCCAGTTCGGTTCAAACCGAACTGAACAGATGCTTACAGGATCCCCAAAGTATGTTATGGGCCAAACCGAGTTCAAACCAAAATATATCTCGGTTCGGTTTTAATACTACACTCGAAGTTCTAGAATTAATATCTCTCCCCACTAACCCTATCTCCCCATTTACCATATGCAGTTGCGGAGAACAAATTCTCTCTCTCTCTCTCTCTCTCTCTCTCTCTCTCTCTCTCTCTCTCTCTCTCTCTCTCCTCTTAGAGCACAACAAAGCCGCGAGTTCTCCTCCCATCTCTGGACTCGGCGATTGACGAAGAGAACACAAGGGCAGGTGGCGATGGCGATTTACAGAGCTAACGATCTAGGGGTAGGCGGTGATAGCGAGTGATGGAGAGCACAATCCAGCGACGATTTTCATAAATGATTGTGACGACGCCGGCGACGAAGGTTAAGAGGTTAGTAAGGCTTAATATCCGAGTATGCATGGAATTTTGGGTTTGTTTTTCTCCTTCGCCTCTACATCTCTCATCGATTTCACAATGCTTTTTTTGTATTTTGTTGAAGCCTTGAAGGGAATTGATAGCGTCGGCAGTCAAGAAGATCGTGGTTTGGGGATTCGAACTCCATTGGCCGTCAAGCAGATCTTGGCCGCCAAGCCTTCTCCACCCTTCGTTTGCAATTGCCGATGGGGACTCGAACTCCACTGCCATTCTCCTCTATTATCGCTGAGGGACCGCCGCTAAGCCTTCACTCTCTGCCCGGTGATTGTTGTGAGAATGAGGTTTGGGTGGGCTAGGGTTTCCTTAGATAAATAGAAAAGTAGATGTAGCGGGCTTGGGGTTGTGTGGGCTTGGGTTTGTGTGGACTTAGGGCTTGCAGTTGTACACTGTGAGAGTTTGTTCGGTTGGTCGGTTCAAAATTCGGAAATCGGTTTTCGGTTGGGAAGACCCTGGTTTCCGAACTATTGAATTTTGCATTCTGATTTTCGAACCGAATAAGAATACTTCGATTGCGGTTTGCTTGAGTTCGGTTTCGGTTCGGGTTTACCGAACCGGATGCCCACCCCTACAGCCAGCTATCTAAAATAAAGTATGGCTTTCAAGTTTTAATTGCCAACGACACGGTAAAGGTTGTGGAAGCAATGGAAAAAAAAAATGATAACCTTAGCTTGGTCATTTGAGACCGGACAACAACAATATTTTTGCTACCAAGAAGCATGGAAGCGAATCCTTTCAGTAACTCATACGTTAGTAACCATGCATAACCCAACCACCATTCGCCACATCATAACCCTTCTCTCTCCTGGAAAGCCTTTAATTTTTCACCCTTAATCTTTAACGGTAGATTTCTCATTCGTTTTAAATCAGATTTTTTTTATTTTTGCACAGTTAGATCAGATTAATTATGCTCTTCAAATTGACACCACTTTGATATATTTTTGGAACAAGAAAAATTGAGTTATTTTTTACCAGTCTATACCATATGGTATTGACTGATATTCAAATAAGAGCATACCATAAGGTATGAAAAGTGTACCATGCTGGTATGAACATACCAAGACTGTAGGATGATTGAATACATGATAGTAGGAGTATACTAACTATCATTTATGACTTTCAACATTGTGTACCACAAGATACCACCCCGTACCAGGGTGGTATTGTGTAATATTTTTTTGTCAAGTATTTTGTTCACCAAAAAATTTGTAGATGCAATAGATCATGATGACATCGTTCCTTTTGTGCAAAATTTTCAAAAATGACTTAAAAACGAAGAAGATACCATATGGTATGCAGCTTGTAAAGAGAGGCATGGATTTTTTTCCCAAAAAATATTGAAAATGGATCTAATTTTATAGAGCATAACGAACTCGTTCCATCAGTGCAAAAAAAAAATATTTGAAATCTGAGTTAAAACGAAAAAAATATGAGCCGATTAAGAAAACTAGCGAAAATAAAATGTTTTTAATTCTCCACCCTTAAATCTGGATTTTCTTAGCCCACTGGAAAAGGAAGGTCCAGATTTAGTTAATAATGAGTGCATAACACTGGGTTATGCACTGTATCTGGAACCAGGAACCATGGCGCAATTTGTGAAGGTATGTTGTTCTATTTTGATGATGAATTTTATGAAGTAGGTTTATGTAAGGAGAATTGGGATGTCATTGTATTTGTAGGAATGAGTTTTCTTTTATTAGTGGGACAAGTTTTTAAGACAAGGTTTTAAGAGAAGTTTCCTACATACAAAAGTAATTTGGTTCCTATTAGTGGAAGAGGGGAAGATAATTACTATGAATTGAAGCTTTAATTTTAAATTATAGGCGAAAAGAAAGAGTTAGTTTTTTGTGGTACATAGTAGCTCGGTCAAATGTTTCACCGGTCTTCTCGTTTAAGATGAGGACCCAATTGATTCTCAAATCATTCTTCCCTTTTGTGTATATCCAAGTCTCCAATGGCAAGACATCACGGCTGCATTTGGGGACAAGAAGAGAAGTTTTTGCGACCACTATTGAATAACAAACTCGTTGCAAGTGTAGGATTCAAATCTACGATCAATTATCAAAAAGCCGACCACTCTTCTCCTGAGAGATCGTATATTACAAGCACAAGCTTATTGTTAGATGTCTCTTTTATTACGAAGACCACCTCGGACCTGGAGGAATTACAACGAATCCGGGTATAGTAACCAAATCCACAAATCTATGTAGTTCACCAAGACAACCGCCTGAACATGTACGAGCACCCTCCAATGGAAAAATCAAATTTAATGAGGATGGGTTATTAAAATCACATTTGTTTGGCGACCAAAATCTCCTCTTCTTGTAATGATATTACATAATTACGTAAGTACCAAGAGGGATATCGATCTACCACCATCTGCAACGAAGCGACGACCCAACTCAGGTGATTACTCACCAGTCACCATATACGGCGTTAAATCCCTCTTGCACCATCCCAGCTCTGGAGTCATGTTTATTGTTTAAGTCCCGAATCCTGAACAATCAAAATCAAGTCATCAGCTGGCAACTCTAGCTACCATAATATTTCAAAATCGAAATTGGCTACTGTTTACACCTAAAAATTAATCTCATACCACATCGATTAATTACAAGAAATTTAATAAATTTATAAGGCCAACTCAACATTAATAATTAAAAGAGCTAATTGGGCCATGTTGGGTTGGGTTTTTGGGACTGGGTGGCCAAACTCCTTCTCCCATATACGATGACCGATCGTCTCCTTGGCCCCCATAGCCGGACGATGCCTCCGCCCCTTGATATAAAATTTGGCTCTAAAAAAAACTAAATCTGTGAACAAGGCGGCACAACGAGGTGCCAAACGATCGGGCACCAAGGCGAGTACCAAACAGGGTGCCACCAGGGGTACCAAAATAGGCCTGGTAGCTAAATATGGAATTTGGTTATGTCTTGTGGCAGGGGTATTAAGACACCAACACTCCAACAGGGTACCTAGCCGGCAGGGCGGCAAGGTACTAATTTGATGAGATTCTAAAAGCTGAGTATGAACCGCCGACAAGTCGGGGAGATAGGCTTGGTAGCCATGCAACAGTGTACAAAGATCCCAAGAGGGTAAATTTGGCTAAGTATGGAATCCCATGGCAACAGGGGGCCATACGACAGGGTGTAATACCATCCAAAGCAATAGGGGGCCAAACGACAAGGTACCAAGACGAAAGAGGCTTGGTAGGCTGAGGGTACCAAGCAGTGCAAGTTTGGCTAAGTACCAAGCCAAAGCAGCAAGAGGGTACCAAGCCGGCAAGGCAGGGCTTGGTAGCAAGACATGAAAAACATAAATAAGACTAAGTGTGGAGACTTGGGGGGGGGGGGGGGTAAAGGGGCCAATTTCTCATCTTGTCTAGGTGTGTAATATGGCCTAGCTATTAAGACGACGACAAGGGACCCCGAGGCGGTTTGGAGCAAGAGGCCAGCTAGCAGTTACCAAGGCAGTTACACCTAGTGGCTATAAATAGGAGAAACAAAAATTGCAAACGGGTTCCTCAACCAACCATTTGACAACACATGTCAAACTTTATCTTTTTCTCTGCAATGTGGCCATAGTCGTAGCTTTTAGTTTCTAGGGCTCTCACTGAACCTCCATAGCAGTAGAGTAACTTTGTTTAAAGAGAAGTGAACCGTGTTCTTAATCATTGTTCAAGAAGTCAAGGTGCAAAGCATTAATATCAAAGACCAGAGATTTTCCTCGCCGGAAAATAAATTGGCACACCTGGTGGGACAATTATGTTTGATTTGATGGCTCCACGAGTGAGAGACCAAGAAGGTGATCTTTCACCTCTGTTTGTAAAAGAGCTAGTGGCCAAGTATGATCTTGGCCAATTAGAAAAAAGTGACGCCGTCAGCCATCACCGCCGCCATGTTTGGGTGTAACCACCACTACTTTGTCTCCCCACCAGTCACCGATGGTAGAAATACAATTAATGGAGGAGGCTATGGTGGGATACACAAAAGAAATTGTATCTCAACTTGATTGTTTTCATACTCGTCTAAATCAACGTTTTGATCAATTGGATAAGATTTGTGAGATAAATGAAAATAATTGTAAGAAATTTCGCCAACTTTTGATGAAACCAGTGTTACAATCAAAGGTTTTGCCTCAAATTGGTGTAGATCGAATAATACTATTGTGTGAAAAAATATTTCTCCCTCCGGTGGCCGGACTATCCATCCACCGTTAGAGAACTCATCGCCTCCGATGATAATGAGTCAACCACCTCTTCAACAAGGTGGTTATGACGAGAATCTTGATAACACATACAGTAACCACGTAAAGAACCCGCATGTGCAGACAGTTACTCATAAAACCGTCTCAGAGGCTAGAGCATGCTTGAACATGAGATTTGGTGGATGGTTAATAGCTATGGATGTGATACCACAAGCTTGCCCAACCTCGATGCCATCTATACTCAAGCAGCCTAGTGGATGCAACCCGCTAGGGGGGCATGCAAAGGGCCATGGAAGTCTACCAACTGACAAGGTGAAATGTCAGGGTGGGGGGCAAAGTGATTTCGGGAATGTTGGACAAAGGGTTTTGTCTAAGAGCACACTACGGGTTTCGTTTAAGTGTGGCAAATGGAGCATGTCACTAACTGCAAGCAGTGGGTTGATAATTTTTCCCAAGAAGCTACAACAAGCCCCTGCCACATGTGTTTCTAGTAAAAGTACTAGTGTGAGTGAGTGTGGCAAGGGGGGCATGTCTCCCTATCCATGCAGTGACAGGGGCGACATGCAACCAATTGTGAAGAAAATAGTGAGGGTTAATTTTAAGAGTGTGCAACCCACCCGAGCCACTCGAAAATTGTCTAAGTATGAGAGTGTATTAAGGGATGCACAAAGAAGCAATTATATGCTTAATAGCCCTTATGGCATGCCAAACATGAATGGCAGACAAGAGGGCATGAATAAGACATCTCGACATGCAACAACCTAACATGGTCCTACAAAGGACCAGAGGTTGTTATCTGCTACGTGTAGAACTCAGCAAGGCATAAGGGTCGAACATAGCCAAGTTGGACATAGGAGTGGTCATCAACTCGTTAAGCCCAAACACTCGTCTTCCCAACCATGTGGGGAGAGTAACCATGTGTCAAGTTGGAGGAAACAAAGGCAGAAAACAACTTGTAGTCCCTTTGAAGGGTCAAAGGAGTTGAGAATGCCTATTGTACCACCTAGAATGAGGCAAACACATCAGGGTCAATGTCAAAACCCCAACATGTCTAGCAAGGTAGCTCGGGAAGGGAAGTATGAGACCCCTTGCAAGCCCACCAAGGCAAGACATGTTGAGCAGGTACCATCCGTTGTTAAGTTAGAAAATTTGAAACCAAAACAAAAGGAGTCGTCTCCCCTTAAGGCGGAGAGATATGCGGTTTATGGATGGTTGGTCTGGTTTAATTCATGAACTTGGCAGTGAGTGTACACCTTTAGCATGTTGATGGTTGCTAAAGGGTATGGATATTAGTGACGTTTGTCACTCTTTTCTATATTAAAATAAATATATAAATAAAAATTAGAAAGTAAAAAAAAAAAGAGAAAAAATTGTTGGCCAATCATGGCCAAAAAAGATGACAAAACAAAAATTGAGATTGATTTGTAACATTGAAGGTGAGGGCCTTGTCATGACTGGTAAGCAACAAGGTCTATGGATCCCTTTAAAATCTCTAGGTTGATGAGTGTACCATGCTACTTACATGACATGAGTAGTTGATTGAGTGTTTGGCCTAGACCCTTTAACGTCCAGACAACCCATCCAAGGAGGCCTTCTTATTGAAAGAGGATGGGGTGCTACATGATCCTTTGATCAAAGACAAGTATTTCAATCCCTATTTAACTTCTCTTTGGGACATGGATTGTTAGCGGGTTCAATGTTAGTCGGCCATAATAGCAGCCGACATGCCAACCTTTCACACCCTAATGCATGGCATGATACTTTTTTGTTAAAACATGGCTTGAGTAGCTAGTCATGATATGGAAGGGAAATTGAGTTAGTTAAGTTTTATTTCCTTTGTTGGGACCTAGCATTCTATAAAAGGTTACGGGTGCATGGCTTTGAAATCAAAGCCAAAATTTGGCTAATGAAGGTGGTGACGAGATAAATGTTATTTTTAGGTGGTCAAGAGTACAAAGTTGGAAAGGCAGGGCTTGGTACCAAGACACCAACAGGGTACCAAGCCGGCAGCGTGGCAAGGTACCAACTTGATGAGATTCTAAAAGCTAAGTATGGAGCCAAAGGGGTATCAAGCCGACAAGGTAGGCTTGATACCAAAAGACATGAAAATTGGCTAAGTATGAAGTAAACAGAGTACCAAGCCGTCAAGATAGGCTTGGTAGCCAGGCAACAGGGTACCAAGACCCCAAGAGGGTAAATTTGGCTAAGTATGGAATCCCATGGCAACAGGGGGCCATACGACAGGGTGTCATACCATCCAAAGCAACAGGAGGCCAAATGATAGGGTACCAAGATGAAAGAGTCTTGGTAGGTTGAGGGTGCCAAGCAGGGCAAGATTGGCTAAGTACCAAGCCAAAGCACCAAGAGGGTACCAAGCCGGCAAGGCAGGACTTGGTACAAAGACATGAAAACATGAATAAGACTAAGTGTGGAGACTTAGGGGGTAAATGGGCCAAGTTCTCATCCTGTCTAGGTGGGTAATATGGCCTAACTATCAAGACGATTCATCGAGGTGGCTAGAAAGATGAGGAGCGTGGAGTCATCAAGGTTGTCGAGGATGTGATCACTTTATCATGGAGGCTAATACAAAGAGACTCAACCCTATCCAGTCATGACAGGGCAAAGAGGCTCAACACCAACCTGTCCCGGCATCGAAAACATCTAGTAACCACCAGCCCCAAGACGGGACCACGGCCCCCAAGGTGACAGTTACCAACTAGTCACCAAGGCGGCGACTAGGGACCCCGAGGCGGTTTGGAGCAAGAGGCCAGCTAGCAGTTATCAAGACAGTTACAACTAGTGGCTATAAATAGGAGAAACTAAAATTGTAAACGGGTTCCACAACCAACCATTTGACAACACATGTCAAACTTTATCTTTTTCTCTGCAATGTAGCCATGGTCGTAACTTTAAGTTTCTGGAGCTCTCACTGAACCTCCATAGCAATAGAGTAACTTAACTTAGTTTTCTTAGCCATCAAAACCATCAAACACCCTCGTTCAAACTTTGTTTGAAGAGGAGTGAACCGTGTTATTAATCGTTGTTCAAGAAGTCAAGGTGCAAAGCATGAATATCAAACACCAGAGATTTTCCTCGCTGGAAAACAGCTATTAACCTGCATATATTTTATCAAGGTAGTAATAGCTGATAGCTTTCTGGTCCCAATCAATGTCAAATGACTTGACCAAAACAAGTTGCCTGCAAGCCAGCCCCTGTCCACCAAAAATCCTCTAACTGTCGAGAAATGGAGCTTTCCGTCGGTACCATGATCAGTGACGGGGTAATAACGTGGCTGTTTTCATTATTAAAACTCATAGTAATGTTGCTACCGGTTGCAGCAGCAACATAGCAGGCAGTTAATTAGCTCTTTTATTTGCTGCTCGTAGTCCGACTTGGTATAGAACGCCGAGACAGACATCTTCTCTTGTTGGAGGATGTTGATGGTGCGTTTGCGCTCATAGAGGCGAGAGGTACTTCCTTGCCCAAAACAAGACTGCAAATCCACCCAAATTTCACGAGCACTAAGGGAAAAACGAACACTGTTACGTACCTCCTTAGACATGGACGTTTTTAGCCGGCCCTTAACCATGGCGTTACAACGCCTCAAAGCGTCCTTCTTGCCCGGAGTAACTGTCGGTGGGAGAGTACCATAAACAAAGCAGATTTTGTTCTTGGCGATGAGCGAATCTGTGATATCGACCACCCACTCTCCATAGTTAACATCAGTGAGAAGCTCCTCAGCAAAGATGTTATTTGGGCTCTCATATTGATGAAGTTGAAGGTGGGACGGAGGACTAGCCGGATCATCAGCGATCGACTTCGACACGGAAGGATCAACGTTCAACTTTGATTTGATAGAGGAATCCACGTTCGAATCCAGCATGATTATAAACTGTGGATCTCTTCACGGCTCTGATACCATGTAAAAATCGATAAACGTAGAAACAAGAACACAATCACAACACTAGGATTTATGTGGTATCCACGTACAAATCGTACGAGATTAATCCACGAAGAGGTTAGACCTCTCGACTATGTTTCACTAGTTTTGGTCCTTTGAGAATTCCCTCTCTAGGGTTAGAGCCGACACAAAAAAAGGCTTTAAATAGCCTACTCTCCCCCCTTTTTTTTACTACCTAAGAACCTCAGCCCCGCGTGCCACTTTTGTGACAGCGGGTCCTACTAAATCTGGGGGCCACCTACAATCAAATTCGACGCCAACTAGGCTTCGCTCCCAGCAGCCTTGTACCTCCGGGAACACCAATGGGCCTCACTTGGATTCGAACCTAAGATATGCACCTCCCGAACCTTCATTGTCGCGGCAGCTTTACCGTTAAGCTATCTTTGACTAGTCTTCCTTTTACAAGTCAATGTGTGGTAATAGAGCAAAATAATAAAATACTTGTTATGAAAAGCAAAGGGTACAAATTAGGACTCCAACACCTCTTACTATATTACCTACCCAGAAGCTGCTGCGGCCGCCGATGGGCGAACGGCTACCACTACAGTTTGTGCCAGTTGAAAGGCCTGGGTTGACATGAATCTGCTCTCTCCCTCTCTCACTGGTGATGCTTAGAAATTGAAATAAAAAGAGTAGGAAATTGAAATTAAAAGAGTAGTGTCAGTTCTATCACTGCGATCCTTATTATATGCCTAGCGTGTGTTTAATAGTCGACCATTTCCGCACATTACACATTGATCTTTTATATATTGATGATAAAAATTTGCTAATATGCATGTAACATGAACCTGTGTTTTTTATGAACCCCGTAACTGAAGCGAAATAGTTAAAGAAAATTCCATCATTTTAATTGTTCAATCGAACTGGGATTTGTCCTAATATAAAACTAGATTGAATGAGTTTTCACGCATATATAATAAAATGAAAGTTATGACCAAGAAATATTAAATTATTTTCTAACTTCGACGAGTGGAAAATAAGAGATATATAGCCTATGTTGGTCGTTTTAAATACTTTTTTGTTTTCAAAAGGTGGTGATGCCAAACAATTAGACTTTCAAATGGTTGGAAAGTGGCTAAGTAAGGGTGCATACTGCATACTTGTATAATTAAATTTGGGCTCTTAATTTAGAGTGGGTTCAGAATGGTTCAAATATAAAGGTTGGGAATTACAGATTTTTATTTTCCTTAGGATTTTTAATTGGATTTATGTTTTTTTATCTAACTTGGATTCAATTTTTTCATAGATGAAACGAGTTCATTGTGATCTAGAGATCAATTTTAAATATATTTTTGAGATTTTTTTTCATACTACTCATTACCACCTCCATATCATATGGTATCTCCTTCATTATAAATCGTATTTCGAAAAATTTTGCATAGAAAGAACGATTTTATCATGATTTATAAGATCTACAAATTTCTTTTAGAAAAAATACAGGATCAAAATTTGTTGGCCAAGGTTTGGCCGTGGATGACGGTTTTTGGATGAAAATGCATAGTAGAATAGCATATTAAACCTATAACCCAATATTAGTCATCTATAGAGTAAAGTTACAGACAACTGTATAACATAATATAGAGTAAATACAATCACAAAAATCTAATTTGATACATGTGCTAGAGCAATAAATCAAAATACCAACAGCTACGTACAAAGGGGGAAAATTTATAAATCGAATAAAATACAACACAAATCCCTGAAAATTGCTAATGCTGCATTTCCAAGGCAGAATAAAAAATACAACGTGAAGAAGGGAAAGCGCAAAACATGCACAAAGAAAAGTCAACGAATTCATCAGCGCCTCCGGTAGTACATGTTTAGTGAATTAGTTGACAAGATGTTTAGGGTTCCACGTTGTCCTTGCCCTCAATATTTCAGACCCATCCTCAAGACACAGCAAATGGTCCACCTCCACCGGAGCATCGCCGTGGCCGTCGCCATCCCCATTCCCTCCGGCGGCTGCATTATCTTCATACTTCAGTTTGGAAAGAGAATGCACAACGGTATCTATCGCAACCTCTTTTCTGAACTCGATCGTCATTGCATGAAGCTCGTGCCCCTCGGGGAGCGAGCGTGGGACGCTGTCGAGGATCCAGTCCACGTATTTGACGTTATTCACATGGTGATTCACGTCCAAATCGAACCACCTTGACTGCACATATCCCACACCCACCAAAGTTATTTCTTAGATATGGTAACTAATAATTGATCAACGTACATAGTCGATAGTTATTGACATTAGGGTTGCATACCGTTAGGCCACTGGTGACGCAATCAGCCGTCTCGAAATCCAGCCGAGGCAGTCTTTGTTCGTTCTTGGGGACTACAGACTCTTCGACCGGCACAATTCGACAGGCCAGCTCGTCCCTCACTTCCTGCACGAACTTGTGTAACCTCCTCGTCTCGTAGTTCATCATTACACACGTGCTGGTAAAGGAACAATATTAGTTAACGTAGCATGCAAGAAATGAATCGAACAGGAGTTAGTTATAGTAGTTATACGTACTTGGTAGCTCGGACTAAGGTTTCACCGGTCTTCTCATTTATGATCACCCAATCATTAGCCAACCCGTTCTTCCCGACCGTGTATGTCCACGTGTCCACTTGCAATACATCACGCCTGAAAAAATATCAAATCGTATATATATGTTAATCTTGGACAAGCAATCATCTTAAACGTGGAAAGATGTAATAGTTAATTGTAATTAATAGTAAATAATTACCATGAAGGATATTGATCCACCACCATTTGTATCGAAGTGATGACCCAACCGAGGTTGTTTTTCGTCATAAACGGCGTCGAAGCGAAACTCTCTAGCTCTACCCCTAAACTTGTGGCATGGTTACATGCCGAATCCTGCACAAGGTAATTAACACGATGAGAAATGGGCATAAATGATCAACTAACGTGATTAATTACGATGAACAAACGTATTAAGGTAATTATTATTATTAATTATATATCATAACAAACAGACCTGTATTTGTCTCATCAGTGCAGCAATGGTTGCTTTCTTGTGCTTGTCAATGTCAAACGATCTAACCATAACACGTTGCCTGTGAACCCGCCCCTGCTGGACCAGAAATCCATGAACCGATTCGGCCGCCGCCGCTGAGCGATCCAGCTGTTCTTCGTCGACACTTGCCACGGCAATGTCGATGTCGTCGTCCTTAGCTGCTGCCGCCAGCAAGTGATTGAACTTCTTTGTGTGCGCAGACGATGATGCAGCTCGCAGCTGTAGTACTGCTGCTTGCTTGTCGCACAAACTAGTGCAACGAGGATGGGTAAAGCTCAATGAGCTGCTGCTGCCGCCGATGGAAGGACCGCGCACCGTTTGCTTAGGAATTGCGGCGGCTACCGCAGTTTGTGCTGCCTGAAAGGATTGGGTCGACATAATTTTGAATTTGGTATGCGATGCTTTTGGGGGGTTGATTAATGTTTTGGATGGCTTTGTAAGGGTGTTTGAGTTCAGCTTCAGCGCGCTTTCTATATATAAGAAAGCATGTTTTTTTCTGCTAGTAAGCCTATGACTAATTATTATTAGTTAAATAGTCAGAGTGAGTTTCTAGCTTATTCGATTTCGGCATCCTACATATCCACGCCCAGGAGGTGGACGTATCTCGCCAGTCCCATCAAATATATATAATTATTAACTTGTGTATTTTGCAGTTTTTGCTCTCTTTTCTTTTTATATCCTAATAATTAGCAGCAAGTTAATTAACTATCTCCAAGCAGTGTGATTGGCGGCCAACAGGACGGAGTCGGGATTTAACAAGAGTGCGCAAATTTAGTGTATTATTGTAAAATAGAGAAGAAAAAAACTAAATGATATACTAAAAGATAATATTTTTTATTTTATTATTGTATTTATTTTTTATTAATACAATGCCACAAGATATTATTCGAGATAAGAAAATCGCTCAAACTATCTAAACCAATGTGTCTAAATTTTATGTTAACACAATTTAGTAAATAAAAAATTAATCATGTATTTTCAATGTGTAGTATGTTGTTCAATATTTGTATGGTCTAAACCTGGAAAATGAATGTTCGTCAATATGATTATTTGAGACTTTGTCATGTAATTAATCATATGACCAAAAGATTTTTAGAAATACGAATTAAAAAGTTGAAGAACTTAACTCACCTACTTTAAAAGTACATGAACCATACCACTTAGGGGAAATGAGGAATTCTACATTATTTTAAAGCATGTGCTCTTTAGTTTTTTACCATTATGGTACAAACTGAATTTGTATTTTTAACGTATGGTATAAATTCAAGGAACCATATATATAGCACTGAATAGGGAGCCGTCAAATACTTCAGCTACACCTAACATGTGAAATGGGTGCATAAGGATGTTATGCTCAACTTGGAATACGATCATAAAGTTGAAAGTACCAGAGATTGCTAATGGCATAGAACCATATGATTTTATTCGTTCTCAATAGCTATGGGATGATCATGGTAGTGTGATTCTTTTGCTGACGATGCTCCTATTACACTACCTATACCTTTTGTACAAATTTTTTTATGATACAAACTTATTTATACATTTATATTATGATACAAACTGAACTTGTACCTGTAGTTATGGCACAAGTTCACTTTGTATTTTGAAGCACCAATGCCTTTTAAAGCATAGTAGAAGGGATGATGGGAAATAACTTAAGCTTTTCGCTAGACTCCCTCCACACCTAATGTGTTATTATTTCCAAGGATTGTAAAACTGTACCAAAGGTTTTACCGGAAAGGTTAGTTTTAGTAGGTTCATTATGGTGTGCTTCATTAGTGTTTGTGGTGTGGTTTGACGCATTGGATTCTCACCAATGTTTGCGTTACTCAAGCCAACATTCTCGCTTCCGCTTCGTCCACCGTTGCTCGCGCGGATACTTCCTTCCCAGAGATATTCTAGGTATCTCTCTATCCAATGGGACTGGTTAGGCAATGCCAAATACATTAGTTACATTTATATATGAAAAATTGAGATCTGGTGATATAACGCAGGGTCTTCCAAATTAAAGTGGAACAAGTGGAATTCAACTAAATTTATTGATCATAATATAGAATTCAATTAAGATATTGTATGAAAATTGAATTTCTTCTATTCTTTTTTAATTTGAGAATTGAAGAATTGGGAATTCCGCGACTTTAAAAAGAAGGAGCGGTACCAAACGAGGCAAACTCTGAATACTAGATATGACCTCAAAATAACAGGGGTCAAAGTCAGCCAGTGAGACGATGGGGGATAAGCTACATATTTTTAATGTGGTGTCAAGACTTTGTGGTCTACTTTCTCGACTTTCTGTTTGAGTCATTAGTCTTTTGCATGGTTTGCATTATGTTGAATGCTTGTGGTCTTCTTTCTTCATTTTGTCATCTCTACTTCACTAGTGTAGTGGTGTGGTTTCATATATTTGTGGTTTGCTTTAGTAGATTTCTCTGGAATAGTAGATTTGTGGTTTGTGTATTGTGGTGTGGTTTCTCCACTTTTTATCTATTTTATCAGTGTTATGGTTTGATTTCACATATTTGTGGTCTAGACCAATTGATTTATGGTGTGCTTTATGGCATTTCTGATATACTTTTGCTACTTTGTGGTATACATTATTTGCAAGAATAGCCCTAGAGAGATAATGTAACAAAGAGAGCACCCTTGGAGCCAATTTCGTTGATTCATTTGTCAATGGAGATCAAAATTTTCCCCTTCGAGTGAAGATCGACATTTCAAAACATATTTTCATTATCCACATGATGATGACTTTTTTCCCGCTGATTTCCTCTCTCCTTCTCTATGGAGTAAATCTATCTCTCACTTGCATATGAAGAACCATATTTTTGTATGTTAGAAATTATGTTTGTTTGAAACCTTACTCGTGGAACTCAATGTTATATATTCAATTGATGCATTTTTCATGAGTTGTATGAATCATGATAAAAAAACCTATGATTTCTGCTTTAACCTAGGATAGAGAATACATGAATAGGTTAATAGAGCATCCTCAATTGGAAGTTGTGAATCGATTGTATGAGAGTAAATCAATTCACTGCTTTGTATAAGATTTTGATCCAGTAGAGGGAATCTAGGTTGCATTGACTTGGTATTGTGTTTCATAGAGCATAGTGTCCTACTAAGCATTCTATCTAATAGGACCTTGTCTACTTTAGTTTAGATTCAAGATTAGAATTGGAGTCTCAGCAGTATAAACATCAAGTGAACTAGGGAGTAAACAGCATTGCCCTAACTAAAGACTCGGGGGAAGCATACTTAAGTGACCTTTATCATTCTTAAAACTCGAATATACTTTTCTTGCTTTCTTAGACTTAGTTAACTTGAAATCGCAACTTGCTTTGCTAGATAAAAGAAAATGACTGAGTAATAGTAGACCTGGTGACCCTGGATTTGATAAATAAAGCTTACTTCCACTATACTACTTCCTGATCTTTGGTTACACTTGGTCATTGATTAAAGTGATAGTTTTAGTGAGTCACTAAGACATTCTGAGAACCCGTTCCAAAGATATCCGTGACATGTTGAAAACCTATCCCGATTTGTTTGAGACATGTTCTCAACCCATCCCAAACATATAAGGGGCTCGTTTCAAACCCATCCGAGACATGCTTTCAACCCATCCGCCCCCAAAAATTATAAAAATTGCTTCCTTTTTTACCTCCTTCTCTTCTTCACATGGTGATGACGACAATAATTGGGTCGGCAATGAGTGAACAGTGAAGAGTGTTTGTGTGTGGATTGATTTTTCTTATTTGGTGTTGTCTTTTGGCTTGTATTTTGTTATTTGGTGTAGTTGTATGTGTTTGTTTTATGGTTTATGCGTTCCAAAGACAAAATGGGCATTAGAGTAAATTTAACAAAGTTAGGGTGTTGGAAAATATTTTTTTGAGAGACGAATAGGATACCATTATATTTTCTTCTCTAACCCCATGGCCTCTCAAATTTGCCTTTCTAATTTGCCTGTTTGTAAATATAGCCATCAGATATTGGTGGGTTGGACTTTAAAAAATGCTAAAAGCTATTTAATGATGGTGAATTGGAGATGGCTTAACTTTATCCAATTTCATAGAATTCAAATATATATATAATTAGAAATTAAAAATCGTGTATACTTAGATCATATTGTTTTCAAATGGTTGTTTGCCTCAATTTACACACTTTATTTCAAAACAGATTCCTATTGTATCTCCTGTTACATGGATATATCATAATGTTAATGCATCTCAAATAAAAATAATGTATTTCCTAGTACATGGATATTTCATTTTTTTTTTTCCGAATGATCATCGAATATTACATGTATTCTGAGTACGATAATAGTAAATCATAGATCAATTGTTGATCTAGCGTTTTAGGTAATTTATGTTCTTCATGGAGATGGCAAAAACAAGAGCAAAGAAAACTCCAAAACAAACTACAACAGTTGCTGCCACACCCAAAAAATCATGTCTGAAGCCCATGTATGATCTTAGAAACTCTTCCACTGTTTCACCGCTTTCGATCTCGTTTTGTACTTCGCCGTATTGTGCTACAATCGATCCATAAAGCGTCCAAGCCACCGGGCATACCCAGTAAAACCATCTCCACCATATAGGAATCCTCTGTCACATACATATTCAAAAAAAATAAAACTTAAGATTTATGTGTATCTTTCATATGTCTAGCTACTATGGATACAAAAAACAACACTACATACCGTTCGGGGGATTAAAAATCCTGAGAAGATGTTCCACAATCCATAAAACGTACTAGCAATGAGTGATGCTATAGGATAGTTTGGTGACACTGCCATTACCATCATGCCATAGAATGTGAAGTAGAGCAAGGTGAAGAACATGAAGAAGAATTGCCATAAGAACTTGGTGGCAGTCCAGTCATATCCAATCATTGCATATGTGAGGATAGTATAAATTGTCGCTTGCACGAATAGATATGGGATCTCAATTACGACCTGCAAAATTATATGAAGATGGAATAAATAAATTTGATTGCAAGTCATTTTATCACGTCTTTTTTATTTACTCTTACTTGTGCAAAGGCATGGGACAATGCAGAATACATTCCGGCAGCTCTTTCTCTGTACGAGATGGTTCTTTCAATGGCAACTACTGCCTGCACTGCTGATGAATTCTTGACTCCAAGGAAGTATACAGAAACATACATCGAACCCATTACATTCATGAGGTCTTGACGCTTCTTCCTATTGCGACAGAATTTGAACATAGGATAAAGGGTTAATGCATAATCATTTTTTGCTAGAAAAGGATGAACTCAATAGTCTTTGAGTTATGAAAAATGACTTGAGCTAGCAGATGAAAACTTACACATTTTGGCCAAGGTTCCAGAACATTGTCCCAATCATCAAAGCAATAATTGTTGTGAAGAGAAGGTTGACAGCCGTGTAGGATGGATTCCTCCAATAAGACAGATTTTGCTTCCATA